AACGAAGCTTTGAAGACCGCAGAAAAGTAATAGAAGATTTTAGAGAGAGTGATCACAGAACTGAGATTTCAGGCTGGTTCAAAAAACAGCAGAAAAATTCTCGCTTTGATAAGATAGAAATGAATAAAATACCGGGAACTCAATAGGGCAGAAAGTGTCGTGAAAGGCATAAAAAAGATTGAAAAACTTAAATAAAGTCTAAATAGAACTGAGTGCAGTTTTGTATTAGTTTAATGCTAGAGCAGTTACTGCAGACGATATATGACATTAATTCTAGTCTTAAATAAGACCTAAGCTATACTGAGCAGTAAAAAAAAAGACCGATTTTTGGCATTGTTCATCAGATTAACAAAGAAGTAGATGTTATGTCGGTTATGCTGGTGAAGGATTGTAGATGAGTTTTTCAATAATGGCTGACTTGAGTGTAACTTGTAAAATTCATTTTTTGCTTTTTCGCCTGAGTCTATAAGTGGCAATAAGTAGCTGAAGACTGGTTGAGAAGTGGCAAAAAAACTTTTTTCTTAAAAAAAAGCCGGTCAGAAAAGGCTAAGAAAACCGCTTCAAATAAGGGTGAAAACTGCGGGAAGAAACGCATTAACTTACTGCAAACATTGTTCCACAAAGCGATATTGTCTGCTCTACTTGGTCTACAGAAAGATGGCTAATATAGGTCCCAATGTTGACAAACGTTGGATGTGATAGACTTTTTGTGGGCCGTTTGAGTTTTGAATAATTTCGCAGTAAAGCTATTTGCAGCCTGTTGTGTTCTTCAGCATATGGAACATCGAAAGTCTGGGCTACAAAACGATAGTCATACCTTGTATAACAGTAACAGCAGGGCGACTATAACAACCTTAATATATCCTCAATATATTTAAGATTTGGATCTGTAAATACGGCATCAGCAGTCATTGACCTGAACTGTTACCAACTTTTCAAGCAACAGTAATTGATGTTTCACAGCAAAAGCAACGTTGTCGTTTACAGCCATATCAGAATGCCACTAGATGATTGTTAAAAATGGTTCTTCCTTCCACAAAAAGTTGAACACTTATGTATTTAACAACTTCTATAATTATGCTAGTTAAAGATATACGCTAACAAAGTGTTTCTAGAACCTATACATTTACAAAAACTTCTAAGAAAATTACACACCTTTTACAGTGCTCCACTGTAATGAACAGAAAGTTACAGCAGTTAAGTAAAAATATCGATATGGATACGAAGTCATCATTTCCGCTGAACTTTGCTAGATGTTTCGTATTTTTAATAAAGTTTAATCTCATAAATAAATTGTATTATGTGAAACTGTAATTCTGTTGTTTGTTGTAATCTGATAGCTATGTGATAAACAAACTTTTATGCAGTTACATTGGAAGTGTAATTTTATTGCTTATTTGTAAAAGATATCGCCTTTTTTCTGTCTGAAACTGGTCGTTTCTTTGTTGCCGTCATTCACAACTGTATGACTTTTTGGCCGTACAACAAACAACACAACTTGAAACAGATCTATTTTAACTTAACATTTCTGAGAAAAATATATTAACAGTTGCTAATTTTTCTCGTATTTAACTAATATTCTATTGTTGGATCACTCTGAATATTTGTCTGGAAAACTGAAAGAAATTTACCGGTGCTACACAACCGTACACTTTCCTTAATTGCTTTCTTCAAATCCCAAGTTACTCATATAGCCTTAATTGTTCAATAACCAGCCACTGTAAATGCTCTTTCCTTAAAATACTCTAGGAACACAGAAGCATATCACGCATTATTGATAAGAATGATGATGTTTCCAACAAGTAATAAAGCCATCATGTTTCTTTTTTTATCAGTTTCAAATTCATTCTGTGTAGTAAACAAATCTGATACAGAACTGCATTTGGAAGGTTGGGCGCGCTTGGTACGCTTCAGAACCAACTATTATACTAGCAAAAACTTTATTCAGTTTCATCAATGTCACTGCTTCCAAATGAGTAATGTTGATTTCTCATAAAAATCAAAGTGAAAAATTCCTCCGATATATAATCTAAAAATGATATCACTACTTCTCTTCTGTATTTTTCAAAATCGCTTTTGATGCTAGCTTTTTTTCTTGTTTACTGAGTTGAGTCAGAAGGATAGATTAATGCACAAAAAAATATCGTCATTCAGCTTAGTCATTTTTGCTGATAATTAGTAAAATAGCTATTTTTGTTGAGTATTTGATGAAAGGCTTAAAAATTGACATATTTTAAGAGCTGTTTTTTTTGCTCAAGGTTTTAAAGCTTCTTTGTGGAAGGTTTATTCGTTAAAATAAAAGAACAGTAAAAATTGTTTTTTCCAGAACTGTTAGCATGTTTTATCGTGATATTCATTTAATAAACTTGTTTTGAATAATAAATGCTTACAGTGCAACACTGACACTTACCTAAACGTGTAAACACAAAAAAAAACTAAAATACACAGTAGTAGATGAGCCAGAAAGAGATGACTGTACGTAGTAGTCGAAAAAACTGATATAATTGAATTTTAAAAGAAAAATAAACATTGGTGCAAAAAACTTACTCAGTCTCATGAAACCAGTTTTGAAAGTTTCTGTAAATTCCACAGGTAACAGCGGGTTTGCTCTGAAACTCTACTGACCCAACAAGCTACTCTTAATGTGTATTTGTCAGACTGCTAAACTACTTTAGACATATATATGGAACTCTGTTCTTTGTTCTTCTCTTCCGATTGTTTACTGGTAAAAGCCCTGAATTCCTCTTAAGTGTCCTCAATGGAAAGAGGAAAGAGGTCTTTCTACACAAAAGTTCTTCTACCGACTCTATTTCTCAGGTTTGTTTCTTAGAGGAGATTGCTTAAACTTTAAATAAGAGATAATTTTATTAAAATGCGTTTTCAGCGGCACTCAAGTTTGTATTTTCGATATAAGGTGAGCAGATAAAGTTGAAATAGAGTTTCCGATAGCTATTACAAGAAAACATTTGATAAATTTCTAGCAGCTACACTTCCTCTTTTTTAAAATATATTCGACTGATTTCTATTCTTTCTAAAATTCATATATTTCTTTCCTACTGTTTTTTGGAGCAGTAATTTTAGTGTGCACTTCCTTAATCTCTTTCGTTATACAGATGATCATCTTTGGTGCTGAAAAACGTGCTGAAAAAAGAGAAGTTTTTTCTTTTCAAAATTGAAAATTTTAAGAAAAAGCGAACTGAGAGCTGCACAAATGCATCTAAAAATGTAATCAGATAACTAGAAGACAGTCATAATTTTTACATACAAAAACGACAAACAAAATAATTTCAAAAAGGCGATTTCATGACAGCTGTCATGAACAGCAACAATCCTCAGACTTGATGCTTTTACCGATACTGAAGGTATTCAACTGAACGGTGTTGTTACTCATGTAGCATTGATTGTTAGTGTAATCATTCTCAAGAATACTTTGCATCTAAGGATTAATAAGAATATAACTATTTATCGACAAAATAATTGATAGTAAGCATCAGGTAAGATTGAAAAAGCGATATTTGAGAAAAATAAATTTTTTTGGTTTTTAAAGAATTATAATATATTTCAGTTTCTTTATTGAATTTATAATGAAATGATTAAACGAACAGGATAGCAGAAACGCTTTTTGAACCTCAATGAAAAAACCCCTGTTCAACTTGTCCAGTTTCTTTTATTTACTTTTACCGGCTCCCTATTGAAGAGCAATGACCTATTATTTCTTCCT